TCAGTGCTGGGCCTCATCCCAAAGTCCATCCCAGCCAATTTGTGTGCTCCTGTGGATTAGAGCAGACGGGAACATTGTCACTGTCCTCCTGGCTCAATGAGATGGAACAACTTGTGCTGTTTTGCGGCTCTGCCAGTGGGGCACTGAAGTCAAATTAAAGTAAAAATAAAACCAGAGCTGTAACAACATGCTGCACACATCCGAGTCCCCTCTGCTCGCCTGTGCTTGAATGCGGGTGGATGAGCGTTGAGGGAGCTGGGGACCTCTGGCCAAGCGTGAAGGTGTCAGAGGTGCGTTGGGAGCAACGTGGCCCTCGCTTTGCTCCCTTGGCTGGCTCCCTTGCCAGCTTTTCACGCTCTGTGTAGATCTCTCCTCGGCTGCTCTGCTCGGTGCTGCGGCTGCTGTATCATACCGCACCATCACCTTCTGCCTGCCCGTGGTGCCTTGACGTGACTGTGCTCATCTAGCTTTGCTCTGCTCCCCTTTCCACGGTCCTTCCCTTTGCACCGACTCCTCCTTGCTGTGGTGTTCCCTCTTGGCTTTTCCTTTCCAAATTTTGGGCTGGCTGCCTTCCCTGTGAAGATGCCTTTTGGGCTCGGAGCAATGCTCTTGCTAGACCTGCGTGCTGTCCCCACTCCCACGTGGTCCTCTCCTGCTGTGCCCATGGCTACCATCCGCACTGCTCTGAACGTGCCCTCTGAGGATGCGGAGGAGGGAGCTGATCCTGCGCACAGCCGCAGCCAGAAGCTAAGGGAGAGCGGAGGAGGGCGGCAGGGCTTGGCCCCAGAGATGGTATGAGCTCCCAGAGCAGGGAAGATGGGTTCCCCTTGGCTTTGGGGCTGATAGATGGTCTGTGGTGCTATGAAGGTGCCCTGGTTTAGATCCTTGCTCCCCAGCTCTTGCATACCAGACGTAGTATGTAAGGAGACCCATGGATATCATACTTTTTGCCCTCGCCACCGCGATCAACAGGCTGCCATAACATATCCCGTAACCGTCCGGCATTAACAACAGGAGTCTCTGCAGTGACCTTCCAGCATGGTTATTGCTTTGCAGGTTGAGGTTTTGAAGCTTTTTTTTATTTTTCTCAGAAAACAAGCGGAGAGGACAACGTGCCTTTGCAACAAGCACTGCCGGCTGAGAGGTTTGTAGCTGATCCTTAAGTTAGCGTAGGATTAGTCTGATCCCCGGGTAATGCCTTATCAGGATCAAGCATCTTGAATTGTAAAGCCAAAGAAGCCCCAAGGGAGGCAAAATCCCTTTGTTTAGGTTAAATAGGAGCATTTTCTTGACAGTGTCTGAGATTGGTCATATTTTTCTTTCTTTGTTCTGCAACTCTGCAAAGAGAAGCCGAATTAACACCCCAGCCTGGTGCCTTCACCACGCGAGCTCTCCAGCTAACAGGGTTGTGCGGACCCTTCAGCTCTTCCAGCTCCATCACCAGCTGCAAGAGGGGCTGACAACTGCTTCAGCCACCGAAATCCTTGGAAAAACCCTGCTTCCTCTGGGACATGCACGCCTGCCTTCCACCCTCTTTCACATCCCAAGCTGCGGGGCTTTTGCCTTGCCGTCCGTGGAGTGGTGGCCCACCGTAAATCATTCAGTTGTTCAGGGCTGCCCGGGCCTGTGCTCCTCTTTCCC